CACACTCATGGATAGGGAGACTCAACATTGTGAAAATGTCAATACTACCTAAAGCGATCTACAGATATAATGCAATCCTGATCCAAATTCCAACAGCACTCTTTAACGAGATTAAAAAATTAATCATCAACTTTATATGAAAAGGAAAGAGGTCCTGGATAAGTAAAGAATTATTGAAGAAGAAGAAGAAAATAAGAGGCCTCACACTACTGGATTTTAGAACCTACTATACAACCACAGTAATCAAAACAGCCTGGTACTGGTACAACAGCAGACACACAGACCAGCGGAACAGAATTGAGAACCCAGACATAAATTCATCCACCTACAGTCAGCTGATCCTTGACAAAGGGCCAAAGTCCATTAAATGGGGAAAAGACAGCCTCTTTAACAAATGGTGCTGGCAAAACTGGCTGTCCAGGTGTAAAAAAATTAAACAAGACCCATACGTCACACCATACACAAAAATTAACTCAAAACGGATAAGATCTAAATATAAAACTTAAAACTATAAAGATAATGGAAGAAAAATTAGGGAAAACTCTAGGGACCCTAACATATGATATAAACAGAACACCAAACATAAGTAAAAATGCACAAATACCAGAAGACAAGCTAGATAAGTGGGACCTCCTAAAAATTAAACACTTACGGTCATCAAAAAACCTCTCCAAATGAGTAAAAAGAGGACCTACAGACTGGAAAAATTTTTTGACTAGGACATATCTGACAAGGGTCTAATCTCTAAAATCTATATAAAACTACAACACCTCAACAACAACAAAAAAACCCAATTAAAAAATGGGCAAAGGATGTGAACAGACAGTACACCAAAGAAGACATTCAGATGGCTAACAAACACATGCAGAAATGCTCACAATCAATAGCCACTAGAGAGATGCAAATCAAAACTACAATGACATGCCATCTCACTCCGACATTACTGGCACTAATCAAAAAACCAGAAAATAACAAATGTTGGAGAGGTATAAGATTGGAACTCTTATATACTGCTGGTGGGAATGTGAAATGGTACAACCACTTCGGAAAACAGTATGGTGCTTCCTCAAAAAGCTAGAAATAGGAATACTGTATGATCCAGCAATCCTACTTCTAGGTATATACCCTAAAAAAATAAGAGGTGTGACATGAATAGACATATGTACACCCATGTTCACTGCAGCATTACTCACAATAGCAAAAATACAGAAACAACCTAAGTGCCCTTCAACAGATGAATGGATCAACAAACTGTGGTACATACATACAAAGGAATACTACACAACGATAAAGAAAAATGATGAATCTGCAAAATATCTTCACAACATGGATCAATCTGAAGGACATTATGCTGAGTTAAATAAGTCAATCACAAAAGAACAAATATTGTATAAGACCACAGTTATAAAGAAACAAGAAAAGGTTTACCCATGGGAAACAAAAAAACAAAAAAATTTCTGTGATAGTTACCAGGGATGGGGGGGAGGGAGGGAAATTATCAAATAGATAGAAGATAGGTGTTAATTTTGGTGAAGGGAAAGGCAATACACAATATGGGAGAAGTTAGCAAAACATGAGCAAGGCATGGGAGGACACTGAGAGGAACACAAGAACAAAAGGCAACAAAGGTAATTACTATAGCACAGACAATCCTGCAACAAATATTAACAAACACTAATTTACCAATGGGATACATAGCTAGATAGATACTCCAAGAGGTGTGGGATGGTATAAGGGAACACATCCATCTGCAGTTATAGGTTTGGTAGTACACAAGAACCACAGTCAGGGCAACTTCTTAGACATAACCAAACACTTTGCGGGATGAAGTTCCTAGGCTCAAAGGCAAAGGATGATAGACTCAGGGGATATCTATGTCAACTGGCACAACATAGTTCATAAAGACAAAGCTCTACATCCTACTTTGGTGAGTAGTGTCTTAAAAGCTTACGAGTAGCCATCTAAGATACAACTATCAGTCTCTTACAGGCCGGAGCAAAAAGAAAACCAAAGACCCAAGGGAGCAATTAATCCAAAAGCCTAATGGACCACATGAACCACAGTCTACATGACCCTGAGACCAAAAGAAATAGACAGTGCCCGACTACTACTACTGACCGCTCTGCCTTGGATCACCAAAGAGGGTCCCGAACAAAGTGGGAGAAAAATTGCAGAACAAAAAATCAAATTCACAAAAAAGACCAGACTTACTGGTCTGGCAGAGATTGGAGGAACCTAATCTATGATATGGTTCTATGGTCCTATGATCCCCTTCTGAACTGCAACTGAGGCCATTACCAGAGACCACCCTTCAGCGAAACCATAGACAGGCCCATGAAATATACAACACCTGAGAGGAACATATTCCTTAGAACAATCTATTATATGAGATCAAAAGGGCAACATTTGCCCACAAGCAAAGATATGATGATAGGAAGGGGTAACAATTCAGGATGAAAGGAAATGGGGAATCTAGAACAGAAATGGGGGGAGGGCAGACACATTGTGGGAAATGGAATCAATATCATGGAACACTTTGTGTACAAACTACTGAATGGGAAACTAAATTTGCTCTGTAAACTTTCACATATTGCACAATAAAATTTTCTTAAAAACACAGTTTTTCATTAAATATAATTTCTTGAATACTTTTTTAATCATGCAATAAAACTTTGATATTACTTATGCTCCCTCATAAATCTGGATCTTTATAAAATGAATGAATAATAATTCTTGCTATTGTATAGTTTATATGTTTAGGCAAAAATGTCTGATTATTAAATGATATATATAGCATAATCTATTTAAAAATTATTATGCAAAACTATAATTTT